ATTAAAAAACTTTTAATGCAATAAATTATTTGTTGTGACAAAGCGTTTGATATAAAGACAAAAAATGTTTGATAAAGAGTCGGGAATTAATCATTTATGCCGTAATGGAGTTTACATGAAATGCTTTTGCATTATTGCATATAAGTTATATAATTTTTGGGCATAACATACATAAATTGGAAAATGTTTGGAAAGTAATAAAATGTAAAATTTTTTTCTTTAGCCCAACAATTATTTTATGCACTTTTATTACACGCCTGAGACTTGACTTCACAATAAATTACAGAATATTCAGTACAACAACAGTTAATAATTGTATTTTGTTCCCAAAAATTCATTAATAATCCGATTTTTGTGTGTATGTCTGAGCTCTCAACATAAAAAATAGTGAATTTAAATATTTTATGCCTAACATTAGGAAAATTAAATTACACAGAATTTTTTATATTGATTTTTCTAAAGTATAATTCATTCAAAACTTTTTTTTGTGTCGAAATGTATGTGTATTCTTAATATTGATTGCATTTCAATCGTTTAGTTTGAAAACGGTTTTTTGGGTGAAATTTATTCAAAGCTTTTTTCTTCATTTTCTTAATTCTCTTAACTTTTTTCTTATGCATAGCATCTGAATACTAAACTAAAGTCTTATTCTCTTATTTAATAGACTAAATGCTCGGGAATTAACTTTTCAAATAGCATATCATAGCATAGCATATCATATAATAGCATATCATAGCATATAATCCCATTTTGCGTTCCCGTTGCCATACACTTTACGAATAAATTTTGCGATCATTTATTGAAAATACAGTTATATTTGAGTACAAATCGATTAACTCTTATGTGTGTTGTGTTTGACATTCACATCGGATCACAGAAAATAGACTTTTTGTGCGCTTTCTATGTATCAAACAAACAAAAACCACTGATCGGTCGCCAACTTTTAATGCCAATTACTATTATGCCTCCCATTTGCAGACATGGATGTGCGGCGGAACTCTGGAGATAATTCCGTGCTCTCATGTGGGCCATGTGTTCCGGTCCCGATCCCCTTACAAGGTATGCCCAACTCATTGTTGGCTCTATTTGTGTGAAAATGCATTGTATTTATAGCCATAGTGTGTCTATGAATGCTAAACAGAATCTGCGATACTATGTAAGCGTTTGTGTAATGAATTCAATGCTTTTCTATATTCCAGTGGCGGACAGGCGTTAATGTATTGAAACGTAATTCAATTCGTTTGGCAGAAGTCTGGTTAGACGACTACAAGAAGTATTACTACCAACGGATCGGTGATGATCTCGTGAGTACACTATACCCACACTACCAGCGCTTAAATAGATTTCCAACACATAGACAGTCATAAAATCAGACTTTTAGACTTTGGGTTCATTTGAATTCAATTAAAATACAGAAACATAATTAGAATCTAAAAGCGAAACATATAATACAATCATAAATAATCGTCTAATTTATGGCCAAATCGGTGTTTCTCTGTTTGAGTAATTGTTTTTTGTCACACCATCTAAAGGGCGATTACGGGGACGTTAGCTCTCGGAAAGAGCTGCGAAAGCGGTTGAGTTGTAAGCCCTTTGACTGGTACATCAAGAATGTCTACCCGGAGCTGTTTGTTCCCGGAGAGGCTGTTGCTTCGGGAGAGGTATGTCTTTGGATCGTATTGTTTGTTGTTTTCGGTCTCAATTCATGTCACGTCTCGCACTCACACTATAATAACTCATTTCATTATAGCTCTCATATGTTTGATATGATTATTGATTTCTATTTCTTGCTTTCCATTCATTCATTACATTAGATTTCCTTATAATCTATTTTTCTTGCATTTCATTCCCAATAATCCATGTGTTGTTCAGTGATGACCGTACAATACATATCCATCAGCGATATGTCTGTTCAATAATATACTGGTCTATAATATACTGTCTTTCAGTTATTTTGTTTGTTTCTCTCATGTCTTTGTTTTGCCATTTCTGCAATACGAGTCTCTCTCTGGCTCTCAATAACTCATAATATAAATAATATAATCAATAATACATTCAATAATACTTGCATTGAATCCACGTTTAGGTGCGAAATCTTGGCGGAGAGTCGCCGTCGAAGATGTGTTTGGACAGCGCCGCCCGAAAGGGTGATTACCACAAACCCATTGGTCTCTACCCGTGTCATAACCAGGGAGGCAATCAGGTACTCATCAAACACTTTATTATTCATTTGCTACGGTATTAGGTTTAGTTTCAATTGAATTTTATAGTTATTTATTGAATTTAATAAGTTTTGCCTAAATTTTGTTTGCTTTTTGCTTTTCTATTAAATCTAGGATTTGTGTGAATTATGTATAACTTAAAGCAATTCCCATTTATTTAACTTATCACTCAATTTTAGTTTTATGTCTACCAAAAGCTATATTTCACATTAATTTTGATTTATTTTGACTTTTATTTTTCACTAATGATAAACTAAACAGTTATTATTATAAATAGTATAGAAATGGGTAAACTGAATTTTGCATTAATTATATATTTTATTTTTGTGTGCCATTTAGATACTGTAGAGTTAAATGATTTAATTCATCATTTATTTGTCATTTTATAAAAATTTGTTGACAAATGACTTAATCCCTTCCGTCGAAGATGTGTTTGGACAGCGCCGCCCGAAAGGGTGATTACCACAAACCCATTGGTCTCTACCCGTGTCATAACCAGGGAGGCAATCAGGTACTCATCAAACACTTTATTATTCATTTGCTACCGTATTATGTTTAGTTTAAATTGAATTTTATAGTTATTTATTTTATTTAATAAGTTTTGTTTAAATTTTTTTTGCTTTTTACGGGCAAATAATTGTTTTCTATTAAATCTAGGATTTGTGTGAATTATGTATAACTTAAAGCAATTCCCATTTATTTAACTTATCACTCAATTTTAGTTTTATGTCTACCAAAAGCTATATTTCACATTAATTTTCATTTATTTTGACTTATTTTTCACTAATGATCAACTAAACAGTTATTATTATAAATAGTATAGAAATGTGTAAAACTGAATTTTGCATTAATTATATATTTTATTTTTGTGTGCCATTTAGATACTGTAGAGTTAAATGATTTAATTCATCATTTATTTGTCATTTTATAAAAATTTGTTGACAAATGACTTAATCCCTTATCAAACTATATTTAAACTTAAATTATCTGAAAGTTAATGAACTTTTTGATTTCTTAAGATTTTAAGTGTATTTCAAGTGTGCATTTGAAATGAATATCGCGACCGAATGCCCCATAAAACTAGTTTTGCTTTTAATGTCTTTCTAAACATCTCTAATAAATTCAAATAATTGACTTATTTTTAGATTTTATTTGTCATTTGAATTATATTCACGTTTTAGTACAGAATTATTGCATAGATTTTATTACTTAAGGAATTTTTGCGCATATTTTATGATTTGATATTATTTTTTATAACTTATTTTAACGGATATTATGTTTTTTAATTGAATATAGTATTGGCTTCTGAGCAAAGAGGGAGAGATTAGGCGAGACGAGGCCTGTCTGGACTTCGCCGGTCGGGATGTAGTCCTCTATCCATGCCATGGATCTAAAGGCAATCAGCACTGGATCTATGATGAAGACGTGAGTTATTTGTTTTTAATTGATTGCAAAATGTATTGAAATTTAATGATTTGTTTGTATTTATATGAATAGTTGCGTCAAATAAAGCACGGAATTAGTGGTAAATGCCTTCAGATGTCATCGGATAGAGAGAAGGTTTTGATGAGTGAGTGCTCCCAAAGCGAGTCCAACCAGAAGTGGAAGTTTGCAAACTATGATCCGTCCAAAGTTGCCAAAGACTCCGATGTTTAGTTCAATTTGAATACAACTCTAGTTTTAATTTTATTTACAAAATACTGTTTTTCGAGAGAAACACACGAACTGTGAAACCGTTGTTTGCTTTCCGAAGTGTTTTTCGCAACATTTTTGCCCAATTCTTGGACTCTATTCAATGAATTGTGAGTTTTGTCGACAAAACATATATATTTGAACTCAATTTGAAGACAACTACAAAGTGTTTGATTCGGTCGACACTTACAACTAATTGAAGACAACATTAATAGGAGTTTAAATGAATTGTATTTTTGGTTTAATGATCGAGAAGTGCCACCAATTTTTTGTTTTATTACTCATTCATCGAAAATTCATTAGAATTTGCTTTTTATTAGTTTTCAAATTATTTCATATCATCTCCAAAAGGGATGTAATGTTCGCCAAAATTACTCATCTCTTTGCTCTCAGTCTTTATTTGAGTTATTATTAAATGATGAGAATATTTAATAAGTATTTTTTGTTTCAAACAAAACAAAATAAAGTTATAATTCATATCTAATGTATGAACTGATGGACAAATTGGTAGAAAATGTATCGTTAAGTGCCTTCAAAGTGCTTTCAAAGTGACCTTTCATTGACCCCTTCATTGACCCTTTCATTGACCCCTTCATTGACCCCTTCAGTGACCCGACTCTCTATCTCCTCATCACATCTGACGACTCGACACTAAAACGCAAAGTGTTTGCTATTTATGTGTTAATGTATTCATGGATTCATCGCATAATTTAATATAATATAATATTTTATGAAAATACCGTTTTTAGTCGTTTTTAGTATATTTTCTTAATATAATAATAATAATAAATATAAATAGTTTGTAATTTACGGACACATTTCTGAGCATTAAAAGTATTNGTATTCATGGATTCATCGCATAATTTAATATAATATAATATTTTATGAAAATACCGTTTTTAGTCGTTTTTAGTATATTTTCTTAATATAATAATAATAATAAATATAAATAGTTTGTAATTTACGGACACATTTCTGAGCATTAAAAGTATTAATAAATTATAATAATATACGACATCTTATTCGCTGAATAAATAATATTTTTATTATTTTTATTTAATTTCTCGCATAAAACACATCAACAAATGAATTATTACTTATTTATAGGTTTTTATTTAAAATTAATTTTTTTTCAATTCAAAGGGTTTCGTTGCAATGATTTGTTGTATTTATTTGTATTTTTAATGCTAATTAATAAGTTTAAAATTGTTTAACAATTTTATTGTGATTTTCAGTATTTTTATTAATATGTAAAATCTGTCTAAATTATAAACTTTTGTAAAAAATAAAATATATATGAATTCATTGAAAATTTGTCAATTTATTTTATATTCATTTAAATATTTATAAATTAATTAGTTTTAAAATTTTGAAATTCTAATTAATGTTAAATTAGTTTATAAAATCTTAACTGAATCTATAATATAGTTAATTATATAACTATTTTTAATTAACAAACTGATGCATCATTTTATTGAATCCTTGTGTAAATAATAGTGATATTTGTTGAACAAAACTAATGAACCATTTTCTCTGTAAACATAATATAATTCACATTTTAATTAGAAGTAAAAATTAGATCTTTTGGCAACTGATATAATAATCGCTATATTACTGTATAGTTCATGAATTATTTGGAAAATATTCTGTAAGTAAAATAGTTCAGTATAAATAGCAATTCATATTAAATTATATTCTGTATTAAATACTGTATTATAAATATTTAAATTTTTTATAAATATTAATCTGTTTTACAAGTCGATAGCTATATTTGAAATTCAAATGTTATTTATTAATTCATTTTTAAATAAATATCGTTTGAAATGTGTTTTGCATTCAATTTATTTTTATGATTAAGTTTTTATTATTTTTATGAATTGAGCCCTTATTCTGTGTTTAATAGATTGAAATTCTTCACTAAATTCTTTCCATCCGTTCATTGAATTAGTTTTTGAAATATTTTCTTTCTTTTTTGAATAAATCTCTCCTTTTCTTCAAATTCAGTGCATTATTTGATTAAATGATATATTTTTCACTTATATTTCAAAACTATTTCCTTTGAAAATCCGGTTTTTATAAAATGAAACACAAAAATAAAAAATATATTTCCAAAGAATCTAATATTATAACGAAAACTCAATTCTAAATATTAATACAAATTCTGAATCAAAATTATTGTCAGAATTTTGTATTATTGTCAAAATGGGTCCCTAAAAGTCATTCATGTGTTTTGGTTTATGTGTCGGTGCTTTTGGGAGTGACAGACAATTATCATCACTAACTGGTCATTAAAATAATTTATTAAAACATTTTTATTACAAAAGCATTATATAATGAACTTTTCATTTGTGAGATAATACTCAACAGTATTGCGAGAATTGTTGTGTTTTTCGGATTAAAGTCTTTTATAAAAATTTCATTTTAAGGACTTTTGCGACAAATGAATATAAAATAGCATTAAATTATTAGCACAAAGTTTGTTAGGAATTACATTCAAATGTTTAGAGCATTACTAATGAAAAATTCATAAAAATTATATTCAAAA